CTAATATATATATAGATAATTACCTTTATCTAAAAATATTAATATTAATTATTTTATACTTCTAATTAAATATTTGTTATATACTAGAAATTGTATTTTTTTTTACCTGAATTCTTTTCAATGAAACCCAAATTTCTGCAATGAAATTAATTGCCTTAGAAAACAAAACAACGGTGCCAACATAGATGAAAATCGAAAGGCACATAGTGACAAACACAATATAGGCATCTAAACTGCTACCAAACAAAACTATAGCAAGGAGAGTAAGACATGTAAATATTCTTGACACAGGAAATCCCAATGTTATTGGTAATCCTCGAGTATATAGAAACATTTTCACTTTCTTCATTTCTTTCCTACAAATGCAAAGCAATTACGAAAAAAAAAATTAATGTAAAATATAAATAACTGAAGATATTAGACCAAAACTAAAATATTTTATTTTCTTTTTAAGCGTTTTTAAATTTCTACAACCATCGAACGAGCTAAATATTCATAAGCCATATATACTGGCAAGATATGGACATGTAATATTGCTATTCATCTGTGATTTCTTTTACAATTAAAAACAAATTCAGATTTTAAAGCAGAATTTTCAGGGAAAGAGGTCTTTAATATGAAAAGAAAACAAAAATAGTATGATTATACTTACTTTCTGATTTTTTCTATTAACGAAGCGAATGGCAACTCCCAAGTGTACATTTTAACTAATCTCATGCCAGCAATTACCTCGTTCAACAGATTCAACCTTTCGTCTCCCAATACAGCTGCCTGCAATCTGTCAATACGCAATTTATTTAAAAAGACATTCGTTTTTAAAATTACGTAAAGTAAATTAACAAAATTCTAGTAAAAATTTTACTGACATTTTAAATTATGAAGTTGACACGTTTAAAGTTTATTGCATAAAGTGAATATAAAAAATATTTATGAAGTAATTACTAAAACTACGTAATTTATTATCATCTATTCAAATTTCTAAGTGAATTTATTGCTGAAAATTATTATAGCACTATGTTACCTTAGTTAATTTTACAAGAAGTGGAAACAGTTAAATTTTAGGTATTAGTTATTTTTTCCCTGTGAAGAGCAGTTTAAAAAAAAGTTTAGATGCAGAAATTTAAGTTTAAAAAAATATATTTCTAGATAATAATAAACAGTACAGTTACCTTTACAAATAATTACAGATATTGATATTATAAAACATTATTAATTAACAATAAAAAATTAATAAATTTTTGTAACCATGCTATATGTTGTAAATCCTTCCCATTATTTCTGAATTTTCTCATAATGATGTAAAATTGAAATCATAAAATTCTGATAAAATTTACTGGCACTTTTTCAAATTAGACACCTGTGATACCTTTTGTAATATAACTAACATATGTGGAGATTCTTATATGTAATAGTCCTGTTCATTTTGTTACCAATATTTAGTAAGGATCTGTATAAATGTTTTCTTGCTATGTGAATGTAAAGATTCAGATAAATAATAACCTAACCTTCTCGAAGAAGTTTGCAGTACTTACCATTTTACCATGGAGTAAGAGCAAGCAAACTGCTTCATAAGAAACATTAGACCCAATACTTTTAACTTATTATGCTAAATTTTATACCTTATATAATAAAGATGGAGTTCTTCGATTGATAGCAACCGCAATTTATAATAAATTTCTACTCATAAAAAATGATTCTTCCCCTTTACTTTTGGACGTATGGCAAATCAATTGTTTGCGACTATTGCATTTTCAGTTCTCTCCAAAACAGAAAAAAATTCTAGGCTGATAGTATTTATATCCTACTTGGAATAATTATTTTATAGTCATTAAGTATGAATTTAGCCCAGCAATTTCTTCACACTAGGTTTATAATGAAGAAAATTGGTTTCTGAGACTAACACTTCCAGCTACATTCTGAGCTGAAATGCATTTTGCAAATATAACCAATCTGAAAATGCTGGAGATATCACATTATTTAAGTGATGCAGTTTTATAAAATATATTTGAATATTTTGAAGTTTCAAACTGATTTGATTGATTAAGAAGCAAAAATTTAATTAAGTAAATAAAATTCTGCTAATATAACTGAGTTACAGACAAGTAAACATACTATACTTTTATTCATTTCAGATGTATGTCGTAATTATGTAATTTAAAAAAAATAATTACCTCAATTTTGAGTATAGTTTGCCCAACATAATTTGTAACGGAACGTACAGAAATATGACCGAAAGTCCAACTAAAGTGGCCCATCTGCAGTATTGCCATAGCATCAATACAGCAATAATTAGTAAAAAAGGATTTGTGATTAAATATGAAATAGTGAAGATATTCTGTAAATAAAATATAAATATTTAATACATATAAAGTGAAAGATAACAGAGTATATAATTTATGTTTATTCGAAAAATTAGAAGTGTGTCGTGAAAAATACAAGAATAGTTTGTTATAGTTTGTTAATAAATTTTTCTGGCAAGAAGATATTAATTAACACAATAAAAATAATATTTAAAAAAATAATCATATAAACTTACGCTATAAAATTTGTTGACATCATTTGCTAGAAGATTTACAATTTGTCCTATATTCGATTTTGCCAGAGAAGAAGAACTTAAATTAATTGCCTGGATATAAATAGATCAAATTAAAATAAATACGAAATATAATTCCAAACATTGTTATTTATCAAACAATTAATATAAACTCTAATATTTTTAATACGATAACTTCATTTTCCTGCAAATAACGCGTGTCAATGTATACCCCAGAAAATATTATTTAAAACAGAAATGAAATATTTACATTACCCATATGTTATGTACTATATGATCAACCATTGCTTTACTGGAAACAGGGATTATGATTATAATTGGCATATAACCCGCACATCACACTACTTCCATCATTATCGAAGCTAGTTCAAACTGAGATAATCACGAGTTAAATTGGCAAAAACACGTATAAATTCTACTTACTATTAATGTGAAAACCTGAATATTAATTTCATTTATTTTATAAATTTATAAAACTCAAGATAATATTTTGTCACTGAATTGTACATTTTTCTAACTTTTGAGGGAAATTAAGGGAAAACAAGTAAATCCAGTTTCCTTTCCAACCAGTTTACTTCTTTTCTAAAAGCTTATCACATTCTCTGACTAAAATTTCGACCTAAACTCATCTTAATCAGAAGACGAAAGCTCTTTATTGGAAAGAAATTTTGATATAAAAATTTTTCGCGTTATTTTTGTTGCCAGTCCGTCACTTCTGACACTACTTTTACCTTGTGCCAGAGCTCCCTTAAAATTTATCATCTGACTAACAAGTCAATTAACGTATCAACTTACACCTTGTCCAACATTTCAGCCAGTATATATTTATCAAGAAAAAAAACGAACTATTGTAGAGGTATTATGTTCATAATTGTAAACTCTCTCTCTAATATAAGAATTTTTAAGTAGTATTATTTATATTATATTTAGAGATTTGTATTCATTTCTGTTTTCATGAAATTTTTGTTTTTTCTTATAATCAATACAGAAAAAATTTATTCCTAATGTAGAAAGTTTAGAAAAGCAAATTATATCACAACATCTTGAAAAATATATAATTTATTTTCCCTAAACCTGAATAATTTACATTAAATGTGCAAATGTTTCAACTTTCTATAGAAAAATTTATAAAAAGTATGCTTGAGTGTAACGTACTAAGACCATTTATATGAAACATGTTATTATGATGATGCATCGTTATTTTTATGTGTTCATATATAAACATAGGCCTACATACACACATTCGTTTAAGTAAATATTTTCGTTAGCATAACTATTTAAAGTGTAAATATATATTTAATTGTTAAAGTATCAATATAACACATGTCACAATAAGCAGCTGATGTAGTTTTTTACCCAACTTTAAAGTACATTTTTCATTCCTTATTTTATTCTTTAGATGATTAAATTATTTTCGCTACAGTTCGTTCTTTCATTATGCAAAATCTGCGCTCAAAATCACTCTTGTAATTATGCGAAATTTCAATAGTAATTATCTTTTTAGTAAAAATAGTAAAATAAATCATGGCCGACGTTATTTAACATCTAATAAATATAAAATACGAAGCTTTCACAAAGTATATTTTGTCGTCTCTGTACTTTTTGTAATTTTTAAAGGATAATTGATGGTGTGCAACGACAGGAGGAAAAGCGAAGACACGGGTTTTTATTCTTTGTGAATGCGTCGTATTGTATATTATATATTTATTATAAGTAATTATCTTATTTAAAATATACAATTATATTATATACAACAATCGATGTTTAGACATTTTGTTTTAACATTATTTTTACTAGCAGATAAGCCTGGCATTGCTTAGGCAAAAAGTAACGATAGCAAAGATTAAAGTTATTACATTATAGCCAATCTTAACCGTTTTCACATAATGCAAGAATTAGATCTTCAGGTTTCCAGACTAATAAGAGAATTTTTCGCTGGCTCTGAAAATATGTTCTATTTCCCTCGGAAACCCCCAAAAAAACTGAATCTGTGCCTGTAAATCTTGCATGTCGCTTTCTCTTAACACTTTCATTGTTAACACTTCCATTCTTACTGAACATTTTCATTATTAAAACTTAATCCTGTCTCTCTCCCTCCCTGGTAGGGAATTTCGAAAAATTTCTTTTCAGTGTGCGTTCTCGTGACGTACCCTAACTGTGTATTATATTTCAACTTTCAACGTCTAACCGTTTGGGCTCTGCGCTGATTATTATTATTATCAACCCGTCTCGATTTTATATATATATTATATAAAAACACAGATCGTCTATAACAGTGTTTCTCAACCAGTAACGAATCGTCTCCCCCTTCAACGTAATATCGCCTCCTTCACTTCAAAATTTCGATGGCCAGGGCCAACGCTAACGCCAAAGTCGTACTGCATTGAATACACTTGTGACTAGTATAATGTTATTTGTTTAGTTATTGTACGATATAATGAATAAAATATCTAATTATTCTTAATATAATATTTTATTATATCGCCCAGAAAATTGTTTTTGCCCCCCAAAATATAAATTGTTACTAATCACTTCTCAACATGGAAAAACGCCCACATGGGGGCGATATCGCTCCCGTTGAAAAACACTGGTCTATAATATACTGTACATTTTCAATTGTTACACTTTTTAGCTACTGTTTCATTCAGTTTAATGATCCATAACATTTCATGTTTTACACTTTCAACCAATTTGATGCATCTTAATAACTACCAGAATTTACACCGAACTCTATCTTCGTTAATTAATTAATACTTATTTCTAGTTTTACTTTAACTAAAAACATACAATCTACTTAAATACTTCATAACACAAAAGGTAACATTGTGACCTTAAAATGTATAAAATTCATGAGAAATCACAAACCTGTAAAGCAATGCAAGTCTTTTTCCATTAAAACAGTATACATATATATATATATAATGTGAAAAAAAAGTAAATAAAGCGAGAAAACTAAAAAATAAATTAACTATTTATATTTATAAGACTAAAAGAAGTTTAAAAACAAATTGACTGCATAAGATGACACAAAAATCAAATGTTTATTTCATTAACTAATCAAATAAACATTTGATTTTTATTCCTGTTTATTTGATTAACTAATCAAATAAACGGGAATAAAAACTACTATGTGTTTCTAATAATATATTTAATACTTGCCTTATTGTATATGACAGTGCATAAAGCTACCTTTAACTTCATGCCTAATACTTCTGATATAAAGTAATTAGTATTAAATGTCAACAAATAAATCGCTGTTAGTCCACAAAATCCTGCGGCTAATAAATAAAGTTTTGGTTCATTCCACTCCGATTTGTTGTCAAAATAATATATTATTAATCCTAAAATATATGCTTTGCTTGTAACTACGACAGTTTCCTAAAAATACATAATTGAAATATAAATCATCTTTAAAGGCAAAAATCATTTCAATTCGTAGGCACAGTACCTGAATAAATACAAGTAGAATTACTATTAAGTATTTCCACCCAATGAATCGTAGTATTGCTTTTACTGTGCTTGGATTACTCTTCTGTAATTCCTTATTCCATTCTCTACAAAAACACAGAAAATTCCTACAAGTTAAGAAGATATTACATTTGAACTTTATAATATTTTGAAGCAATTACAATTTACCAATCCTTAAGAAACCAAGAGTAATGTATAAAGTTTTAACTATATTACGCCCTTCTAACAAAATGGATTCTATAATATACTAAAAAATTTTAAATATATTAAACCTTCTTCTACAGTTTTTAAGAAATCAGCGTCTTACTCATACACCCATTGTAAAAGCCTATGTGCTTCTGTTTCCATAAAAACGTTAGTTATGTCACGCATATACTATTTTACTGTTTACTCAGATTTTATTTCTTGGTACAGTATTGTTGTTAGTGCGGAATATTGTTTTCTCCCATCCTCATAAAAGGATCAGTAACCAAACGGCAACAAGTCATCACGTTATAGCTTCTCGACAGACTTTAGGCTTATACAGTATATTATTAATTATCGGGCATTCTTAATAATCAGGCATCCTGATGTGCAAACCATGGTCACACGTGCAACATGTGACCATGTTGCATGTGTTGCATTTGACAATTGCTGTCGCATGTATAAAATTATTTCGCTGCTATTTTTAAAGAGAAAGCACTTTTCAATTAACGTTAGTTGAAGATCTTTTGCGTAAGGGAAATTATGTGAAATGCAAATACGAATTATTGGTATAGATCTGTTTAAATTTTTTATATTATAACTGAAAAATACTTTCTAATATATTATTACTGAAAAATATTTTATTATATATACGTTTAATTAATGTACAAATATATGTAGAAACGGTTTTATTCTGATATCAAGGAAATTTTATATTGTTAAGAAGTTAACAAAATGCAGAAATTGAAGATGTAATTGAAGTTTTCGATGCGATACGACAAATTAACTGTTATTAAACAATAATACAACACTGTTCATTGACAGAGTGACAGCAAGAAAAGATTAATTCAAGCCCAACCACTTATTCCATCTGCACCAAGCAAAAATCCAACCGAGAAGCCATATTAACGTTTTCTTATCTTCATTACTAAGTATGAAGATAAGAAAAATTACAGGTACGATGTCGCCAACATTAATACTATCGTCACATTACTTTTTCTTAGTTTCCAAGACTACAGGTCTCCTAAATATCAATTCTGAAATTCTGTCATATTAGAAGAAAGTAGAGACACAACGGTAGCTGCAAGTATCTATAGCCTAGCAATACTTGTCCTTCTTTTGCCGCAGGTGGGATTCTTTCTCGAGCTTTTAAGAGCCGAACATTAACAGAATTTCCATCTTAATTCGAATAGAAAATACAACAGAATAGGAAAATCCACTAACATCACAGATAAAATTAAAAGAAAAATTTCCGTTAAAGTTTTTTAATGTAACAATTTGAACAACCTTACAGTGACCAAGAAAAAAATATCTTAAGTCCATTTGAAAAACTAAGGTCTAATCTCTGTCAACCTCTTGTACTAAAGTTAATTTCATCTCTAACATACGCTAAGCAAGTTAAATCGCATTACTGTGTTCTAAACAGTAGCTCTTAGCATAACAGAAGGAATGTTAATGATATGTTGGTGTATCGCATTTTTCAATTCTGCCAAATTGTTCATTTTCATTTTTAACCAGTGACTTCATGTCTTGTTTCGTTTAACAATATTGCATACAGCGCCATTTCCCGTTTGTGGTAAATTTTTGAACTAATTTTTTGGGGAAATAAAATCCCATGATATTTTTAAAACTGTTACCAAGTTCGATAATGTTTTGTCCATTAGTTTTCCTTTTATGGCCATTCCAAAGTGCAACTTTAATTATAAAGACCCTGTATTTATATGATATAACAAAACTGTTTAACGGATAATCCTAATTGCTTAATATTTCAGCAAACTCATTTCATGATCATTACCTAGGTCACAGGTAATTTCCACAATACCTACGTTATCTGTAATCACAGTTCCATTACACGTGACAAGAATAATTGTGATTTAACAAAACAATATACTTATTACAGCTCTCCTTTAGTACAAAAAATATTCAATATTATCTGAATGAATATAAGAAGTTGTTAAACTTACTTCTGAAGCTTATTTCCAAGGTACTCTGAAGTATGATATTTGGAAGTTTCGTATAAATCAACTTCTTTTAAAAGTCGCTTTTTTCCTTTAATTATTATTGGAAAAAGCCAACTGAAAGAAATAAATGATTTGTTATTGTTTTTTTATAATCACATTGGCAAGTACTCGAAATTTAAAGAAGAATTTTTTAATAATAAAACTTGTCCTAAAAGTTTTTCCTCGCAGAAGTTTGTCCTAGTGTAACAAAAACTTTATTTGAATGAGATTTAAACCACACTAATTAATATTGAATTAGTAGATAAGCCTGGAGTTACTGAAAAAAAGTAACAACAGCATAAATTAAGTTAGATTATTTCGTTTTTCTAACCCTTCAACTATATTATATCATAATTTTTTACTTATATTTACAAAGGTTGTTTTGTGTATAAATTTATCACACCGACTGATCAATCTAACACATTTTAAAAATTACTTAAATTGTGTACAGTAGAGGAATAAAAAATTTTAAAATGTGTTAGATTGGTCAGTCGGTGTGATAAACCCTTACGAAACATAACCTTTATAGTTATATAGTCGATCTTTCCCATTTTCACTGGGTGCAAGAATTTGGTTCCCCCTTTTCCAAGACTAATTAGAAAATTTTTAGATGGGTATAAAAATATGTTCGATTTCTCGTAGAAGGCAGAAAAACCGCATCTAAAATAGTACAAGAATAGCGGAGCTCTTCAGGGTAATCCTTAACTCTCTTTCTCTCCCCACAGGGGAATTTCCAAAAATCTCTAGTTACAGTGCATTCTCATGGCAGACCCTAACTGTGTACTAAATTTCAAATTTCAATTCTTAACGGTTTGAAGAAAAAACACAACACCTTAATTTGCTGAGAAAAATGTAATGAAAACCAAACGTTTTCATCAAAATCTGTTGGCCATCATCAGGCTAAGACATTCGAATATAAACAAAATAGAACAAAAATTTAAATACAAATAAAATTAAATAACGAACGAAATATATATATAAATGTATAAATAAAAATAAAATAAAATAAANTTATATTATAACATTTATATTTATTGTTAATACTCTTGAAAACATGATCGTACAACGTGGAAAACGTCCAACAAAACAAAAAGGGATTATTCAAGGTGGATTCGAACTATTAAAATCATCCTTATTCCAATATAAAAAAATATTATGAATTAAAAGACATGATAACACACAATCTAAATATATAAAATTACTTGTCCTGAGTGACTGACTATATGACTGACTCATCATCGACCAGAGCAAACCGCTGAACCTAAAGAGGTGAAATTTGGTACACAGTTAGGGTACGTCATGAAAAGGTGCAATAAGAAAAGATTTTTCGAAATTCTCCCGCGGGGGGAGAGAGAGAGGTTTAATGCTTAACCTAAATAACAGCTTCTACTGTACTATTTTAGATGCGATTTTTTGTTTTCAACTACGTTTCGTCTTCATTGAGTACTTAGGTGTATTAAATTGATAACATTTCAGACATTGTTATAAATATTTTTATGTATTTCGATTTTAAAAATGTTCGAACCGTTTTAAATTCGAATTTGTTATTGCATATTGGTTCGATTATAAAACGATTGTAAACGTTTCAGAAAATTGATCAAATTAAAAATAGTCCGTTTGATTCTCGGCAATTTTCATCATTCTCAGCAGTAGGAGTTATGTAACAGTTACTATGGTTGTAGAAATACTGAATATAACTAGGGTTTGCTTGCAAAATCCTCGCGGACAAAGCCGCGGGTAATAGCTAGTCAATTAATAAAAAGAGGATCTATCGACGTCGGGAGAAAAGCATTAGAATTTCTTTTTGGCGCCGCAACCTCAGAACACGTTGAAAATCTAAACAGCGAAGTGAATCAGTTAAAACAAGTTAATGAGGGAATTACTCATCTACTTGATTCCCAGGCCACTCTTTTAAATTACACTTTGAAAATAAGTAAAAATAATAGACAACAGATACATACATTATTTCAAAGACAAAAAACTTTTGATGATTTAATACAAATATACCGATAAAATTTAGCATTTGAAGTATTCATGACAACAATTGAAATTTGAATGCAAGAATTTTGTATGCAAATTATAAAAATTCGAGAAGCCATTAATATTCTAGAACAGTGTTTTTCAACCTTCTTGAATACGCGACCCATTTACAAGTTAAAAAATTCTGGCGACCCCCCACGGCCATATTAAAACTATGTCAGTGATTTTAAAAACTACGTATTTAATGTTCTTTTTGTTGAGATTTAAATATCGATCAAAAAACTAACTGTACTGTAAAATAAACAGGCACAGCCTTCTCGCTGAAATTGTAGTTTTTTTATTGTTGTATAGAACCTACAAACACTTGTCTGTTTCTATTACCCACGACCCCCCGTGTGTGGCTTTGCGACCCACAGGTTGAAAAACACTGTTCTAGAACAAGAACGATTAATTACTCATTTATTCCACGAGGAGTTACGTTACACACCTTATGAAAAATACAACTTCCGGTTTAACCTGATGCACTTTTTAAATTTTATCAATAGATTACAATAGTTGCTGTAGTCCTCCAAGACAAATTAAGAATGTTTGCTAAAATGCCTCTCCTTACTCTTAGTGGATATTTTGAGTCCTACGAAATACTAAAATTGCCCACATATTTCCACCATAAGAGTGTTTGCCTATTTTCAAACCCATTATCCTATTATAGCTTTATCTATGGGTCGACAATCATATATGTTATTGCAATATCACGAATTAACTATCTGTCAATTGTCACAAAGTCGAGAGTAGGTCCTCAACGGGTGAATACGTCTTTCCCATCGCTCCTATTTACGTGAAGGTTGGTTCCGGGAATATTTTTCGGATTCATCGTTTGATACATCGTTGGATAACTTATTTTTTACGGTTAGTTTGATATTAGAATAGTCTGTCTACGTTTATTAGGGGGGAGTTACGGGTTCGTAAATTTAGTATCGTTCGATCGGTTTTAGCGGGGGTTTTATAATATAAAGGGGGGTTTTTTCTATATCGTTATACTATCGTCAGGATATCGGTTATAGTATCAATATTTGGTGTCTTATGGGTTAAATTTAACTGTTCTAGCTCAGTTTTGTGTATATATATTTTATAAGCATTCTGAGGAAGTCTTTGCTCCAGTTCTCTTTGTTCCTAACAAAGGACTAACGGTCTTTGTTATTCTCTTTTTAACGGTCTTTTGTCGATCGTTATATTGTTTTATATATATTTTGTAACAGTTTCTTCAGGTTATATTAGTTGTTTTATTTTTTTTAAATTAAAATAATTAAATAATATATATTATTATTTTATACATCTGGATCTTAGGATTAATTATGTGGCTTTTGTCGTCTAATTGCTTGTGATTAGTATAGGTTCTAACGGTTTTACGGCTATTAACGGTATTATGAATTTGAACGTTTTATCTTTGTAATATAATTTTTATAGTTTTAAGGTCTTTTCAAAGCAGGATTATTTAAAGTAAACGGTGTAGTGCTCTGGTTCATTTTTAATTATTTAGTTAGGGG